AAGAAGGTATTCGCAATACATATAAAGTAATATGTGTATTTTATATAATTATATATGTAAATATGATTTTTATAATATTTACGTACGTAAGTTTTGCTTACACCTCTCATATAATTCTGTATAAAATGGCATATGTACTTTTACCAGTTTTTTTATGCACTTTGAAAGTGTTGTATATGTTGTTAAAAGCTTAGTATCTGACAGACATGCGGGCAAATGAAAATAATGCAAAAGGGATAAACATTTGTTACTTAATGTACTTTCATATTAATTGCCGTAACTATGTTCAAATAAATGATATAAAACTAATAATCGGTTACCAGGCGTCGGTAGGGTGCTTAAATATATTGTGAAATGTATGTCGGTCAAATCTATACATAGGTTATGTTTTTGTGATATGTTTATATATAAATAAATTTGATTCGATTTGATTTGATGCTCATATACATGTAACTACAACTACATTGGCTAAACTAAACAGCTTCTCACTTCCCCCCGAAGCGTGCTCGTCGCTGGCAAATGGCATCGGTAGAATATTTTAAGACTGGAATGGCGAAAAATACCAAACTTGAACTGAAAGAGTCGTTTTTCATTCTTGTCCAAACTTTTACATCATTAAAATTTTAAGCCACCAGGCCGCCAACTTCACAAAAATGATAAAATAAAAAAGTGTTCTCAAAGTGAATTTTTCCTTTTTATATATCCTTTAAATAACAAGAATTTTCTTTAGAACTTCATTAAATACCGTTTTATTGTTAAAATAACACTTCTACAACATTAAAATTTTTGGCCACCAGGCCGCTTGGCCGCCAACTTAACTAAAATGATATTTTCTTTTTATATATCTTTTAAGAAACAAGAATCGTCTTAACAATTTCATAAAATGACGTTTTATTGTTTAAATAACATTTCTTCACAAAAATGAGAAAATAAAAAAGTTCTCTGAAAGTGATTTTTTTACGGTGGCACAAATGTGACATGTCTGTGTTTTTATTTATCTCGTGGCCACGAGATACTAAGTCGTGGCCACGAGATAGCTCAGTCGTGGCCACGAGATACTAAGTCGTGGCAACGAGTTACTAAGTCGTGGCCACGAGATACTATGTCGTGGCCACGAGTTACTATGTCGTGGCCACGAGTTACTATGTCGTGGCCACGAGTTACTAAGTCGTGGCCACGAGATAGCTAAGTCGTGGCCACGAGATAATTAACCAATCAGAATACATTGTATATATATATTATGTTTTTTTATAAACTTTATAACTTACTTTTACATGCAACATTAATCTTTGAAAACACTGAAGATATTCACTTTGAACTGGTCTTTAGGATCATATTAGAAAGTCACCTTCCAAGGCCCATCATACATTAATTTTGACTAAAGCTCTTTGTTGGGAAATTTTTGATCGAATTGGCCAGTTTGTACATACTACGGCCTGTTAACCTTGTTTATACGAAAACATGAGTAGAAATAAGTCCTGGTTTATTTTATTTGGAAGGGACATTGATCATGGACATTAGATAGCCTATAAGGTAAATCCTTGTCTGATGAATAATTTAGAAGGGATAATCCATGGTTTATATAACCCAGGAAGATCATTGCACATGATCAGTAGATGACATCTAGTAATTTTGAGGTCATTTGGTCATAGTGACGCTAAATGTAAAAGTATTGACCAGTCAATAAGTTGTATAAAAGGCACTTTTACAGGCTGGTGTAGTAGGTACATCCTTGTACTATAGCACATGTCTAGTAAATTAGGGAAATTCATATAAATGGTGTAATCTGATTGGTTATTTATCTCGTGGCGACGACTTAGCTATCTCGTGGCCACGACTTAGTAACTCGTGGCCACGACATAGTATCTCGTGGCCACGACTTAGCTATCTCGTGGCCATGACTTAGTAACTAGTGGCCACGACATAGTATCTCGTGGCCACGACTTAGCTATCTCGTGGCCACGACATAGTATCTCGTGGCCACGGCATAGTAACTCGTGGCCACGACATAGCTATCTCATGGCCACGACTTAGTAACTCGTGGCCACGACATAGTAACTCGTGGCCACGACATAGTAACTCGTGGCCACGACTTAGCTATCTCGTGGCCACGACTTAGTAACTCGTGGCCACGATATAGTAACTCGTGGCCACGACATAGTATCTCGTGGCCAAGATTTAGCTATCTCGTGGCCACGACTTAGTAACTCGTGGCCACGACATAGTATCTCGTGGTCACGACTTTGCTATCTCGTGGCCACGACTTAGCTATCTCGTTACCACGACATAGTAACTCGTGGCCACAACTTAGCTATCTCGTGGCCACGACTTAGTAACTCGTGTATAAAAGGCACTTTTACAGGCTGGTAAAGTAGGGACATCCTTGTACTATAACACATGTCTAGTTAATTAGGAAATTCATATAAATGGTGTAATCTGATTGGTTATTTATCTCGTGGCCATGATTTAGCTATCTCGTGGCCACGACATAGTATCACGTGGCCACGACTTAGCTATCTCGTGGCCATGACTTAGTAACTCGTGGCCACGACATAGTATCTCGTGGCCACGACCTAGCTATCTCGTGGCCACGACATAGTATCTCGTGGCCACGACATAGTAACTCGTGGCTACAACATAGCTATCTCATGGCCACGACATAGTAACTCGTGGCCACGACTTAGCTATCTCGTGGCCACGATATAGTAACTCGTGGCCACGACATAGTATCTCGTGGCCAAGACTTAGCTATCTCGTGGCCACGACATAGTAACTCGTGGCCACGACATAGTATCTCGTGGCCACGTCTTTGCTATATCGTGGCCACGACTTAGCTATCTCGTGGCCACGACATAATAACTCGTGGCCACGACTTAGCTATCTCGTGGCCATGACTGAGTAACTCGTGGCCACAACTTAGTAAGTCGTGGCCAAGACATAGTAACTCGTGGCCACGACATAGTATCTCGTGGCCGAGACTTAGCTATCTCATGGCAACGACTTAGTAACTCGTGGCCACGACATAGTATCTCGTGGCCACGAGATGAATAAAAACACACACATGTCACCTTTGTGCTACCGTATTTCATAAAGTCATAAAGGCAGCCAGGTTACATGAGAAAAATAACTGTTTAAGTGTGATTTTTTACTTTTTTATAACTGTTAAATGATAAGATATGACTTTTAAAGTTAATTAAGAGTCGTTTTTACAACATTAAAATTTTAGGCCACTAGCCCATCAGGCCGCCAACTTCACAAAAATGATAAAATAAAAAAGTGTTCTCAAAGTGATTTTTTCTTTTTATATATCCTTAAAATAACAAGAATTGTCTTTAGAACTTCATTAAATGCCGTTTTTGTTTGAATAACATTTCTACACTAAAAATTTTTGGTCGCAACGCCGCTGGGCCACCAGGCCGCCAACTTCACAAAATGATAAAATAAAAATATCTTTGAAAGTGATTTTTCTCTTTTATATACCTTTTAAATATCAAGAATAGTCTTAAGAACTTCATTAAGTCCCGTTTTTATCATATTTAAAACATTTTTACAACATTAAAATTTCTGCCAGATCGCAAAAAATCTGTGTAAATGTCTTTTTTTCTTTTATGTTACTTTTAAGTGGTAAGATATGTCTTTAAAAATTAATTTATAGTCGTTTTAATTTGTTTGCCAAACTTGTATTATTTTTAAAGTTCAGGCCGCCTGGCCGCTAGGCCGCCAACTTCCTTCACGCCGCCAGGCCGTAAGGCCGCCAACTTCACACCGCCAGGCCGCTAGGCCGCCAACTTCACACCGCCAGGTAATTTGCATCAGAAACCTTAAACAACACCAAGGCAATTGTGATTCGTTTCGTTACTTTGAAATTTCATCTCACACTTTTTGTTTTATTGTATTTATGCACAATCATGTATTCTGTTTGGCAAAATGTGTTGCCATTTTGGCGTATTGTTTTTCCACTTTTGCGCACCGTTTCGTTGCTTTATTGTCTTTCAGCTTCCGTGCTTTGTATTTGGTGCATTGTTAAATGGTGACATCACCTTGATTGTTAAATGGTGACATCGCCTTGATGTGTTGTTGCTTCGGCCTATTCCGTTTTTTTCGGCTTATAGTGCTTAATCATGTCATTTGGATTATGCAGTTATTGCTTCAATGACGCATCATCTTGTCACTTTGATATCCCATCACTTTGGCGTATTGTTCATCGTGATATTGTCTCATCACTTTTGGACTTTGTCTCACCGCTTTACTTATTTCATTATATTTCTTGGTGTGTTTTCTTAGTAGAAGCAATTCGTAAAAAACCGTAGTGAATAAAAAAGTACAATAAAAGATGTGCTACAGCATAACATATTCGAGTACATGTATAGATGGACATAATGTCACTTCAATGTTATAGTTTGAGATCCCTTACTAGGAACCTAATTAGCTGAGAAGTGAAGTCCTTTCAAATAAATCTTTTTTTAAAGATTTAACAACTATACCTTAAAAAAGATATATTTGAAAGGACTTTCACTTCTCAACTTATTGGTTTCCTAGTAGGGGATATTAATTAGGGGATATTGCATTTAAATGGCATTATGCTCATCTAAGTATAAATGGTAAGTGTACAGGCTAAAGTGAAAAATACATTTTGTTATGATTGTTTTAATTTTGTATTTTACTTCGCAAGAATAATTAATAACCCACGTGACTCATGTAGGATTCTAAAAATACCCTTAAGAATGTGTCTGAAACGTTCGACTTGTAAAAGGACTGGGACAGTAATATTTTGTGAAGTGTTCCTAGCCATATTTTACACTTACTTTTTTATGTCAAAAATCAACGTACTAATAAAGCTGATGTCACCTTAAAGGACATACTGTGAATATAATATACTTTTGATACATAAAATTAATATACATTTGTAATTACCTAAAGCAGACGATTGGCACAGGTTTAGTTTGAATTTGTATAAGAAATCTTTCACTTAATTAAAACTTTCTATCTCTTTTACTTAGAGAAAAATGCCAGTTTTACTGACAATCCTGCTGATGTTCCAGCTCTTTATTGAGTAAGTATAACAAAATATTTTTTCCTTGAATTTAATACTATCAGAAAAGTAAAAAAGTGTCATTTTCTGATTTAGCATTTCATATTAGGATAAATTGGGGGACAGGAAGACAGAAAAAAGTAGTAAAACAAATGCTTAACATTAATTTAAAAAAAGAACTTGAATTCAAATTAATGAGCTTAACTTGATGTTTTGTTTCTTTAACAGGGGTAGACACATAACAAGAGAAGGGGATATTGAAAAACGCCGAGGTAAATTATTGTATTTTAGTAAATGACTTTATTCACAGCTGAAATAAGAATAAGTTGTCAACATTTTTTCTTGAATTAAGAAGTCAGTAATAATTGATTTACACATTAAACCTAACTTGGCTAGTATTTACCTTTTACTTGAAATGTTATTTCATTTACTTTTCATTTTATCCTCTGGAGGCGAGTGGCTTTATGTCCGAGGGTATTAGGAATAATATCTGAGGTGAGCCGCGATAACAAACACATGGCGTTACTAACCTCGGGATAGGCCACCGTGAATTTAGATTATGTCTTTCTATGAATTTAAAGCTTGTCTATTTGAAGAATAGCGGGGCTATCCTACTCACCATTTTCTAAGGACTGTAACTCTAGCATTGATTTTGGCTGAAAATAATATGATGTCAATTTTTAGCTCAACTTTTTAGAAGAAAACAAATAGAGGTATTGTTACAGTCATGGTGACGTTATCTATCGTTGCAGTTGCCGTCCGCCAACTTTAACCTTGACCAAAACTTTTAAAAATTCTTAGTGAATTGTCTAAATACACAATAGACAATATCTTCAAGTAGACCAGACTAAACGTGACCTTAATTCATAAATGACATTGACCTTTAACTTCAAGGTAAAATATCTAAATTGTGCTTGATTTTTGCTGGGTTTTTTTGCTATTAATGGCTATAACTTTGTTAATTTGAAATGGATTGTCGTCTTCAAACTTTAACACAAAAATCGTTAAGAAAAGACGTTACAGATTACTATACAGACCTTGACCTTCATAAATAAATGACCTTGACATTGAAGGTGAAATTTTCAAATTTGTAACTGGCTATAAATTTGTTATTAATGAGTGGATTGACTTCATTTTAAGATACAACATTCTTTAGGATAAGACCTACTGACATTGACAATGGAAGTTAGGTTACTAAATTTTTCACGGATGTCTGCTATATTTGAATGTAACTTGGTTATCAATTTAGATGTGACATTGACCTTAATTGACCTTGACCATGAAGGTCAAATGAATGAAACTCTAGAGTGTTTTTTCTGTAACTGGCTATGACATTTGGAGCATGTGCATATTTTAAGATGTTAGATTGAACTTTGATATCAGCTGGCCTAGATTTTGACGAAGTGACCTTCTTTTGAACTTTGATATAAGCTGACGTTGATCATCTGAAGAAGTGATCATCTTTATTGTCTTTTGATGTACAGCTATGAAATTTTAAACATTTGCATAGTTTTAGATGAAAAGTTGTACATTGATATCAGCTGACCTAGATAATATGACAGTGACCTACTTTCTTGTTCTTTGATGTACCGCTATGAAATTTGGACCATGTGCACTTATTAAGATGTTAAATGGAACTGTAATATCAGCTGACCTAGATAATTTTAAGAAATGACATACTTTCTTGTCCGTTGATGTACAGCTATGAAATTTGGATAATGTGCACTGTTTTAGATGTAAAGTGAATTTTGACATCAGATGACCTAGATAATTTGAAGAGGTGACCTTCTTTCTTGTCCGGCCCATAACTTCGTTATTTGAAGTCGGATTTAACATCTATTTCACAGAAATGATCACCATATTGAGACGACGTGTCGCGCGCAACGTTTGGGTCGCTATCTGAACTTTTTCTGTGACATAACTCTGACACTACAAGAGGTATACCTTCCTGTGTTCAAAACCTATTCGGGGAGCATCACCCCGTTCAACCGGCTCTTGTTTGTAATTACTGAAACCTTCTTCTACTGAGATCTTTCTTCTTTTTTATTGACAGGAAGGCTTTAAACACATACACTACAGATATACAAATAAATGGCTGTAAAACACATATAACTTCTTGTTTAGTGAAGTTAACTGACATGAAAAGTATTGCTTGAAACTGATTACAGTTGGTTATAACAAAAACCAATTAGAGTACAAAAAACGAATAGGGCAGTTTTGGCAGTATTGTGAATGGGTTTTTGATATTGTTTGTATCATTAAAAGGATATAGACAAACCACAAACTCATCTATAATTATGATGAGCAATCCTATAACCGATTGATAATAAGTGCTCCAAATACTCGAGTAGACGTAATGTAATATGATTAGAACAAGTTCAAGAGAAACACAACTAATGGATTCTATTATTTAACAGCATGTTCAACAATTCCGACGTATGATATCAAGTGTCATGGGGCATGTCCTACAGTAGACTCATTAGCCTGGACCAAGAATAAAGAATTTAAGGAATGTTTACATCCTAAAACTTATCACTGTGTATATGACAATGAAACTCATGAGTACATTGAAGGTTGTGCTGAGCCAATCTTTTGCAATAGAGGTAAGACACTTTATTAATTTCTACGATTAATTTGTAACTTTATTTTCATTTTTAGCTTGACTATACAAAGAACAGGGATTGTACTCACGTGGCGTCGGTATGTGCGACGCCATCATTCTTAACTTTAAGTATTTGTACGCAAGTCTTTATCTCCAAAACTAATCTAGGGAAATTGCTGAACCTTCATACACTCTGTAATTATATTACATGATAGGCGCAGATCCCATTACTATTAATTACAAAGTTATGTCCCTTCTTTTACTGTCAAGAATTGAGAATACTAGTAGCACATGTTGTGTTACAAGTCATTATTAAAGCAGAGCTGTCAGTAAGGCAGCAGGCTTGATAGTTGAAGAAGAGTCTGGGTAATGTAGGCATTAGCAAAGAATATGATTTCAGTAAACAAGCATAACGTAGTTATGAGTTTTGGATTTGATACTGAGGTAAAGAGGTAAATCAATAAACACTTGTTCCTTGTATTAGGGACCAAATTGAAAACATAGATCTTAGACTTGATAATTCAAAATAATTTGTCTTGGAAAGTGACCTTCAATTATTACACTAACGATCAAGTGAATACCTTCTGTAATTTTGAAGATTGATGTTGCTCAAAAATGTTTGAGAATTTTTTAAGTTAAAAAAATCACAAAATTTTGTCAAAATTCCTGTTTGAGTAATAGACTTTAGACAGTGACCTAATCTAGTCTCAAATAAGTATGTGAAATTTAAAACATTTACTTCAGTATAATATTTTAGATACAAACTTGCACACAAAAGTCGCGCTAATATGTGAAGTGTACATAGTATAGAGAAACATACATAGTGACTGCAAGGAAATAGATTATCATCAAGTCGCAGATGTTTTTCTGTATACCGGTATTTCAGTTTTTCAATTCGCTTAATTAACAACACAAATGAACTTTATGGAAGTAAGTGGCCCAGAAAGGACCTTTAAAACTTTTCTTTGAGTTCAAACATGAGTCAACTCAAAAGAACAAGTCAAAGCAAAGCCTAATTAACACACTTTAGAGATAATCTCTTTACTTGGATCTTTATAAAACTTTGTCAAAATGCTTTTCCAAATGATATATTGTACACATTTGAATATTGGTCATCTTGGGGAAAAGGAACAATCTAGATTTATGGTTTTGACTGGATGATTTTCAAACTTTGTCAGAATGATTCTCAAAATAATATCTTTAAAAAGTTTGAATACACATGTATAGGTCATCTTGGATATCAGTGTAGATAAAAGAAAGGAAAGCCTTGTTTACAATATTGATATCATATTTATAATTGGATCTTCGGCATACCTTGTTAAAATCTTTTTTAACACAATCTTATGAAAGTTTGCACGTTGGTCACATATGTCAAATACTACAAATTTAGGTCATCTTTTCAAATTAAAGACAAATTCTGTTAACATTCTATAGATCAGTGTCTTGATCGGATCATAATTAAGCGTTGTCTGAATATTTAGCTCTTCTTTTCGAAAAAAGTGCAGTAAGTGTTAAAACCTTGTCTGCTCAGTAACTTGAGAAAAAAAGAATCTAGATTTATAAAAGTAGGTATGACATTGTCAATGTCCATGTAGACTATCCCTATAGAGTTGAAGGCTTTTAGGTCAAAGATCAAGGTCACAGTGACCTTAATTTAAATTTCTTGTCTGTTTAGTAACCTAAGAAGGAATAGGCATATATAAGTGAAACTTGGTAGGGTCATTAAACATGCTAATAAATGGCTCTTATTATTTTGAAGCCATTTGGTCAAAGATTAATGTCACAGTGACATTTAATGTAAATTTCATGTAACAATAACATTAGAAGGAATGAGGCAATATTGAGATCAAAGGTTAAGGTCACAGTTACAATTAAAGTAAACTCCATGTTTGATTAATAGTCTGTTTAAGTTTTTTTTCTTTTTCCATTGCGTCCTTACAACATCTAATACTACTGGCATAATCATAATGATCCGACATGCGGAGCTCTTGTTTATGTATTGGATTAAAATTTTACTATCATAATTATCGCCTGAAAACGCTGATAATGTTTTAAACTTTCTTTATATTATCCAGAAATAATTGCAGGCCAGCACCTGCTGTAAGACACAAAGGTATATATCTGTATACAGCTGCGTGTATGTATATCTATATGCCATGGTTGTTATGTGCGGTATTTCTATGCATGATCTTTGTATGCATGATCGAATATTCCAAATCAATAGACTAGCCTTATCACTTTTGCTTTGTTTGTTTGTAACATGATACGTATGTCTTTATTCTTTATAATTTTGTTCAGACTGGTGAGTTCTTACATCGTCTATTGTTTTGCACTCGATGTAATTAACGCATTGTCCTTTACTCTAAGTCTAACGTTAACACTATCTATATAGTATTTTGTAGACAATATACTATAGTAATCTCCATTACCACTTGTTATATGTTGACTTGTTCACAGAAATGATGCTAAGCTTGCCGTTATACTTTAGCAAGTCACATTAACTAAAACAAATTCATACTTATACTCGTACAAAACTTAAATGATTAGATAAAATATTCTTAAAGCAAAATATAGTAGTATATAATCATTTTCAGTCTCTTTTTTAATCCTAAGGACGAACAGCTAGAAAAGAGCCTTAGAAAATGAAGCATTGTCTAAAAGATGTCTTTGCTAGTATGATAATCATGCCCCTTAGTGACTTTAAACGCAACATTACATTAAAACAACTACCCAGACGTAGTGTAAATATATGCAGCATTGCAAAGTCGGCCTCTACTAAAGTTAGGATAATTTGTCAGGAGTTCTTATGATAACTGTCAGAGAGTTCCTGAAAAACGGATTTCGCCGGAAAAATTATTTGTGTAATGGAGAAACACACGTAAAAATGGTATATTTAAACTTTAAACGAGAAGATTGAGGTGCTTAATTAAACTTTGAATACTAAGCTTGCCTTACACGTTGTATTATGTGTCAGAAAAAAACTTTATAGTCCATTCGTCATCGCCTCTTGTTTAAAATCTAATAGTTTTGAATAACATTTCCAAATAACTTACTCATTCGTACATATTGACCTTTTCATTTGTGATCTTCTTTGTTGTTGTAAGGTAAGACCTAATTTTAATGGAAAGTTGCAACTGTAAAGCCCAGGCTTATAAATTTATGCTCGACTTTTTAAATGTAACGGAGTTCGTGTGATAACTCTGAATATGTCCTAGAGTTCTTATGATTATTTGTGTAACTGCCAGTGCGTTTCTTGTTTTAAGTTATCTTATTTGTCAATAAGTGTCTAAATCATTATAAAGCTTTTTTCATTTGATAAGAATTTATAAGATTTTTTGCTTTCGCAGATTTTGTAGACTGAAAAAGGCTTGATGCAGAGCATTGAGTTACAGGATGAAAATACATTTTGAATTTAAAACTCAAGCATGATGTCTTCATGTATACATTATTCCTGGCAGTTTTAGAGAGCATTAAGTAACTATGCTATCGGTCTGCCGAAACAAATTATATGTAAATTAAAATCTTTTGCAGCAAAATATGAAGAAGTATGCACTACCTTTGTCTAAATTTGATAAGTTTGGGGTCATATTGAGGTTTTGTAATGAATAGTTTGTTTTCTAAAAGGTATCAAATTTTGCAATAAAGACGTAGAAAATTCTATAACGAACCAGAATTCAACATTTAAACATGAAATGGTAAAATTTGAATTTAGAAACATCCGCAGATGTGTTCATACGGCGATTATCATTGAACGTTCAATGTGACATTCCATAAAAAGCGGCGTAAGGTCCTCAAGTAATAGAAAGCATGTGCACAAAACGAGATAACATGGGCGAAATTAAACAAAATGAAATTCTGAAAGGCGGTCAGAGGTTATAAACAGTAATGTTGTGCTGAATGATTTTTAAGTCTTTAACCACAAAGTTCATGTCGTTGATCGACCCTGTTCCTTACCTTATTGAATTCACTTTAGCATCACGTGACGTACAGAAATCTCCATATTGCGGAAGATTATTGCATACATTTTTCTTCATGCGGACGTACAAAAGTAAGAGCATGAATGTTGATTTTTTTACAGTAAAAACTAAATTCTTCTGTCAATGGATGATTGATGGACATTCATAGGTGTGGAAACTCTGTTGCTTTTGCTGTAATTGATAACAAAAAATATAGTCGAACTTTTTTCGCTTGAACCCGCAGAGCACGTGCAAATTTGTTGAAGAGATCGGTAGTTAGAGCCACCCGCGGTTGAAAATTTTAATGTTTACATTTTCGGGTGCATATAAGTGAAGGTTATCCTGGTTATATACGCCTGGACTGTCTTATGTAAAGAATGACTGATATACATGGTTAAATGTCATTCTGTTGAGTCCGAGATACAATATGCTGGGTCAAAATCCCAATATACTGGGTGAAAATCCAAATGCGCTCAGTTATTGAAGTGTAATGTTGTGTGCTGATTACATTTTATTTGGTCAAGTCAATGTATTTTCGGATGCATTAGTCGTTCTGTTCAGTTCTTAAAACAAACAGGCATGTGGTAACACAATTATGTTGAGTTAAAAAGAAATGTTGTAGGGTGTGACAGTTGTTATGTTCGGTTAAAATAGCTGTTCTCATCATGTTCAACCACGAAAATCAACAGTTGAGTGGTACTATCATTTCGTTTGGCTGAGGCAGTATATTATTGGGTGATACTTTTATTATTTTCAGTTGCAATGACATGCTGTTGGCAGCTTTATTTAGACTGTTCAGTCGTGAAATAGAACTGTTGAATAGTACTTTCATTATGTTCAGTTCAGATGATATACTGTTCAGTGCAGAGGTCATTATGTTAGTAGTGAACACAAACTATTGTGTGATACCGTCATTATGTTCAGTTCAGATGATATACTGTTCGGTGCAGAGGTCATTATGTTCAGTAGTGAACACAAAATGTTGTGTGATACCGTTATTATGTTCAGTTCAGATGATAAACTGTTCGGTGCAGAGTTCATTATA